ATATATTTATATGAACATATATACATATACGCGTTAAATACTGAATGGCAGCTATATACGAGGCTATATAATTACTGTCGTTGGTTACATGTTGCATACAGAGATTCGATTCTATAGTGTGCAGAATTCACAAATGCACGTGCCGCCACTGTTTTGTATCAGAGTGTTTTAGCGCAGGTTATAGCATTAGATAATACTTTTATGTTAAATCATGTTTTTCTCCAGCCGTTATAGTTTATTCGTTACGCATCATAGCGTAAATCGTATGCGTGCATGCAATTCGGTTTCTCAATCACCAACTCAAGCATACTTTGCACACTCATCGCTCATCAAGCTTCCGTATTTATTAGAGCAAGGAGCGTGGAAAGATGAATGACTCGATACGGTCGCCATGGGAGATTGTCGGGTTCGTGTGTTATCTATCAGGCACCTTTTGAGACGAGTTTAAAGATGCACGTTCGTATAAATGACGGATAATTGAGTTTTTCACCTATGCATAAAGTATGAATCAGCCCACAGAATATAGAATCCACAGGCCAATCTTCGCCGTGTATAATGATGGCATATGCAAGTCCTTATATGCACAGTTGCCAGCAAGCAAGTATACTAGCAATCGAACATAGTACATTGACAATATTGTGCCGGGTTGCTATCGCGAATTTTCGTTGTGAGTTGTAAGTGAAATATTTAACATGGCTTGGTATGTGTGGCTTGGCGCCATTTGTGCGCAAACACCAATCCATCGACGTTTTGTTCCCGTTGAATTTCCTGCTTGTTATATTACCGTATAGGTGGTATGGTAGTGTTGAAAATGCTCACTCCGCTCATTGTAAGTTTTCCCGTAGTGAAGCTAGTTGTAGACAAAGTAATGCCTAAAAAATATTTAAGGATTTTTAGTGCGCGTTGACAACATCTGCAATGTTGATTTTGTGCTGATGTGGTTTTTCTGTGACATAGGCCCCCTAAGTGTGAAACTGTGATGTGCCTTTCTGCGGCTTCTTAGATATGTTGTTGTTGTTTTTTCATTTGTATTGTGGTTTTCACCTAGATCATGTTGGCTTGCATGACTCGGTGTGGTTTGCAGGCAACAATTGTATATTCTTGTGATAATATTTTTAAATAATTTGTTAAAACACAAATATATCCGATGCAGTGCGACACTCTCACAACACTTTAGCAAAACATTCGTCACAGCCTGTTTTACAGCAGAAAAATGGCACGGTTTACCATATTTAATATTTGTGTTCAACCTTGTATGTATTGCATCTTCCCAAGATATTCCCACGAATTCTTGACAATAGAACGTGTGCAGTGATATGCTAGTCGCGAACTTTACACTACTTGTAATGTTTTATATACTTTATATGCGTTTTACTTGGATTTCTAATTGCAACGGAAATTAGGTGTATAAAGTGCGTTTATAAATTAATTGCATTTTTTGTGGCCATTATGTTACGAATGAGTTCATCTTTCATAATAATTAAGAGTACAATTACTGTAGTATTCTTCAACGTATGCGTAACGTTAGTGCTAGTCACTTGCTGTCAGTCATTTCTGGGAAACCACCCGTGACCTAAATAAAGTTACTCGAACGTTTCCGTAACCACCGATTGGATTAGTGGGTATATAGCAAGCCCGTTTTTCATTGCACTACAAGGCGTGAGTAGCCAATCAGAATACAATTTACAGTTCTGAAATCTGAATATCAGACAGGCTGACATTCGCAACATCTCGGGCGTGATCATAAACCACGTGGCCACAAACCCACTATTAATCAATAGTGGGTGATTTTTTATCGACACATCCAATAAGTCATAGTGGGGTGTTGGTAGTAAAAGGCTTACTGTGTGTGTGTGTGTGTGTGTGCGTGCGTGCGTGCGTGCGTGAGTGCGTGCGTGCGTGCGTGCGTGCGCGTGTGTATGTATGGTTGTGCGTCAAATTCTGTCTCACTGTCTCACTAGATACTTCAATACAAAGTTACAGCTAGCTACATGTATATATCGCTAATTAAAATATAACATTCAACGAATTAATTTTAGCTATTGGTAGGCCTATATTTATTTTCTCAAGATTACAAACAGACCATAACACATATTTAAGGTAACATACAATAAAGTAACACATAAAATTTTAAACCAAGATGTACAGCACGCACACACGCACGCACATACACATATACACACACACACACACACACACACACACACACACACACACAAAGCCAGCAGAGTTGGACAACGTAAAAGGCAAAATACTTTCAATACGCATTGGTAGAAAAAATGATGAGTATCGTATTTGGCGAATACTCATGGCAAACTACCCGTTACTCATACGTTTGAAAATTGATTAGGCCCTACTCATCCGATCCAAAAATTATCTGGAGCACTGATACTGTAATCACACAAACGCCCGCAAACCTGCAATGTAAATTCTGGCTACTAAAGGATCGTGTAGAAGTAAGGAGAATTTTAATTAACTGCATGGAATGTCTTGAAGCGACCATTATAAAACAAAGAATCGGCTCATTAGTGCTAGAGCGAGTAACATGGGCGCCACCATTTTCGTACACAGGAACAGACTTCGCCGAGCCTTTTTATAGAAAGACATTGATAATTGATGATGAAAAGAAAATGTACATCGTAATGTATTCACTTATATGACAACAATTAAGGGATGCACAACTTGAGCTGGTTGAAAATATATCGGCTGGGGCGTTTCTACCGGCATTTTATTGGATGACAAAACCAGTGGGTGCACATATGTTGTCCTGTATTCATATGATGCTAAGTCCTTCACAGGGCTTTTAATGAGCTGAAATGTTTGTGCAAAACAAAGAAGGGCACGCAAAGGGTCCATGAATCGCTTGAGGTATAACAGAACGGAGTGGAATTTCGTTACAGAAATGGCTTCATGGCAAGGAGGTTTCTATGAACGGCTTACAAGCAGTCTTACAATTCCATTGCACAAGGGCTTAGGCAAAGCACAATTGTCATTTAATGAGCTAGTTAAAATGCTGGTGTTTACTTAAACTCAAGACCACTGACGATGGTATCACCTGATAAAGGTGATCCGTTGCCAGTTTAGTACCAGGTCATTAGTTGATTGGGCGAGATTAACAAGTAACACCAGAACTTAATACGAGAAGAAGGGATTCCAGTACAGTGAAAGATGGCAAATTAATCTTGTCAGCGTATCAGTAAGCAAGTTTGTAACAGATGACAAAAGGAAAATTCCGAGTCAGATATTATGTAAAAATGGTATGAAGCTTATGGTCATGCCAAACTTAGTGATATAGTCTTAGTAGCAGATAGAAATATACAAGGAAACAAGAGTGGAATCTTAAAAAAAAAGTAAAATTCATAGAAGTCGCGATGGTCTCGTCCGATCACTGACAGTTAAAACTTCAAGATGAGTACTACTTCGGCCGATAATGCGTTTGGGATTGCTAGAAGTTTCTGGTGAAACTTCATTAATGCGCATGGATTAACAAGTTTATCGAATCTGTGCAACAGTAAAGAAGACGTGTAAAAGCTCAAATGCTCATGTCTCAAATTTATTTGGAAGATAGATACAATTGATAGCTACTTAATAATTTTCTAGGTAGACTGTTCGGAAGTGTTGCCAGTTCATTTTGATTAGTGCAACGAGGTTTGCTGTTAATGCCCTAGCTAGAGCCTGGTGTGATGCATTCCCGATTCTTCTCGACTGGGAGTACTGTAGAGTGACTCGAACTCCACGACAGATGGCGCTCTCGCTCTGGCTCAATTAATTCACGGTATTTTTACGGTATTCACGGCTCAATTCTGGTATCCTGAGTTATACGAAGCAAAGATCCTAGAGTGCCGGAGGCCTCCGGCACTCTAGGATCTTTGATACGAAGGGGCGCTGCATGCAGTTTGGGAGTGACCAGGACAAGCGTGACCCCCAGACCAGGCATTGTTATTATTATGTTGGCGCATTGATGGGATACGCCGGGTGACACAGAGAGTGCTGCCACGGATATTTGTATATTGACTGATGCTGCGGCAGAAAAACGAAGTCAATAATAAAGCTGGCATTATAGCTATCACCTCACTCAGATATGCAATTGTGTTCGCAGTAATCTGAACAACATAAATCGGGGTTACACTCAAGCTTTGATTGTGCACAGGCTTTTTCACGGGTATATTGCTCTAAAGAAGAGTAAACATTTATTGACCATCTATGAATCGAATAAAGTAATCGATGTATCTCTATGCTCAAGCCGAAAGATTTCATGAACTTTCCAGCACCTACAATTATGTGAAAACATAAAT